GGGGGTGGAAAGGGTCTGACTTAGCTTCTGTAGGTCCAGGCAGGCTTCCTGGAGAAAGTGACCTTTGAGCTCAGCCTGAAAAGATAGAGGCAGTCAACAAGGATGGTTAGGATGCTGGACCCCCACATGGTCAACCAGGTTCAAGTCCAGATCTGGCAGCTTGCTTTCTCACTTTCCCTCTTTTTTTGTTTCTCTCTGATGAGTTACAGCAAGTGACAAATAATAATAATAATAAATTAAATCAAATTATTCTTTTTTTTTTTTGGAGAGGTTTTTTCTATAGGGCATGTGAGCTCGCCAGAAAGACAGAGAGAGAGCGAGAGAGAGAGAGAGAAAGCGAGAAATCACCCCTCGCGGGGATGACCACGCTACAGTCCCTTCTCCTCTATTCTCCTCTCAGGATCTTGGGCATGCACACACACGTGCCCGGTGTGAGTTTAAGCCACCGGGTCCAGGACGTGAACCATGGTCAACTACATGGGAGTCCAGCAACACAGCCATTACACCAACTGTTAGTCCCTCAAATTATTCTTTAAAGAAAGAAAGAAATGGCCGTGGGGGTGGCCAGCTGGTGGCGTTGCGGTTAAGGAGGCTGGATCGTGCATGGCCAATGGCACAGTTCAAGATCCGGACACAGTGGCCCCAAATCCCAAAAGGAGATAAGGGATAGCCACGCCCCCCAGAGAGTGCACACGCACACACTCCTCCACGCCCAACTCTCTTCCCCACTGAGCTCCTCACCTCTCAGGTCTCACTTGAGATGGACCCCTGCTGGGGTGTGGTCAGGCGGTTCTGAAACACCAGGATTCCTGCCAATGCAGTACCCTCCATGAGAACAGCAATGCCATCTCTGTCATATCACCCATCTCGGACCCCAACACACTGTGCACATCTTAGTAAGTTGATCTGTGTCTGGCAAGTGAATGAGGAATCCCTTCGCAGAAAATGGCTGATACCAGCTAAGGAAGACCCCAGTGCTCATTGGCTCTGGCTGTGCAGCTTTCCTGGTGGGAGATGCCACCCCATCATAAGGTCTGTGCCTTGTCTAAAACACTGATGAGGCAGGAGAGACCTTTTAGGGAGGCCAAAGGTCTTACTCAGTCTTTAGCAACATCCCTGCCTGTATTGTTAACATCTGGAACTGCCCCATCTGCTGCTGAAGGAGCCATGGAAGGGAGCCGAGGCAGGGGCATGCAGAGGGCACAGGTGGAAAGAAAACCTCTGAGAACAGAATGTACACTCACAGTGCTGTGCGCGCCTCCATGGCCTGAGACCCACCTGCATCCAGCACAGTATCTCTTGGGGAGCAAATTTAGGCTATGCGAGGTGCATTTCTCAGTGGGCTTGTGCTTCAGTCTCCGAGTAGCATAGGAGCCACCTAGTCAGCTCCGCAGTGCCTTCCTGAGCACCTGCTCTGTGTGGCTGGGTGCTGGGTGCTGGCAAACTGAGAGGAAAAAGACCAGCCCTCTGTCCTAGAGCGGGGGCAGAGTCAGCGAAGGGGACAGAGTGGAGCCTGATGATGACCAGAGAAGAGAGTCCCAGGATGCAGTGGCACACCCTGGGCTTGGCCTGGGCTGTTCTCCCTATCTGCGTGGGGAATCTTCTGAAGCACCCTCGCCTCTGGGGAGCCTCCTGATCTCCCTGCTCCCTGCTCCCTGCTCAGCCTAGTTAGAGGTGGTGCTTTTCTTGGGCCTCATTGGGCGCACTATGGTCTGATTCTTTGTCTGACTCGTCAGGGCCCCAACATCCACCACATGTCAGTTGATACCAATGACACCTGATGAACCCAGCCACTCATTCTACGAGTACGGGGGAGTCGTGGAAGCCCCTGCAGCTCTGAGCTCATCTGACCTGCGCAAGAAGTACTGTCAACCCACACCATGTGGAACAAGGCTGCGTGCTCGCTCTCTTTTTGCTAATGGATGAGCTACCTAAACTTCAAAAATAAAAATAAATAAATACAGGAACTTGTTTGGTGCATGGGCTTGTTTCTCACCCCTGTACTGAATTTGCAGCCCATTGGAGAAACACAGCCAGAAGCCCTGGATCATTTCAAAGCAGACTTAGAGTCCCAGGCTGGGGCTGGCTAGTCTGCCAGGGAGGTCCTGCCCCTGCACCACCGTGGAGGAAGTGTGGAGACTTTGTCATCCAGAAGAAAAACACATCCGTGTTTGCTGCTTGCCACCTCCCAGCACACGCCGTTCTGCCTGGTCTGAAAAGCTGCCCGACACACCACCCCTGGGTCGTCCTGCTAACAGTGTCCAGAGAACACTCACCTACAAAACAGGAAGGCACGGCTCACGGTCCCTGCCCAGGGCTTTTAACACCAGAAGCTAGAGAAAAAAAAATATGTCAGAACTGAAAGAGACCTCAGACATGACCCAGGGTGAGGCTGCCTTGTTTATTGACAGGGGATGGACAGAGGGCAGGAAAGGATTCCCCAGAGCAGACACAGCGGGAAGAGGTCAGGGCTGATTTTCATGGCTGCTGTTGATGCTCAGTCATGCCCCACTGTCGGGGCACACTCTGATTCTCCCACCCCTGTGGGCCTCGCTTGGTTATTCTGTCCAGGGAATACACAGCGTGCCCAGGCCCTCTTCTGCTCTTCCGTGAAGCAGGAGGCTTTGGGAAGGGACAGGTGCAGACACAGGTCCAGAGCGCCATCTCTCCTTTCCAGGTTTGTGTCCTCTGAGGCCCTGTTTCCTCACCTGGGACACAGGAATAACCCCGCTCACTTGGTTGGCTTCAGCGAGGACCACGGCATCTGTGAAGGCAGCTGACATAGTGGCTGCTGGTGCGTAACTTAGGCTCAGAGTTAAGAAGCTTCCTCTCGGACCAGCAGTTAGTGTAATGGCTATGTCGCTGGACTCCCACGTAGTCGACCGCATTTCAAGTCCCAGACCTGGAGGCTTAAACTCATGCCAGGCGCGTGTGGCTGACTATGGGGCTGACCCCAGGCTCCTGAAAAACATCTTGATATCTTATAATCCTTTTGTCATAGAGATGTTTTCAACAGAAGTTGTGACAGGATCTCCTGCCACATTAACTCTGTGGACTTCTAAAGCAGGGAAGGTGTTAACATGTCTCATAACTGTTACTAAAAAGGAACAATTTCTACTGTTATTACTCCTTCTACGGTAAGTCAGTCGAGCAAGCAGAAACAGATTTTTTATTTTCCTGCTCTAAAGAGTCTTGTTAACTCTCAGGTACCATTACACAGTAACCTCCACCACCTGGCCCTTGATGAATTCTACAGCCACTCCTCACTTCCTACCTGATGTCCAGGTGTTCCCAACTCCTTTTAGTTTCTCCCACTCTTTGCCTTTTCTCTCGTCATAGCCTCTACTCATGCTATTGGGTCATCAGGTACGTCGTGATGCAGTTTTGCATAGAAAAACAGAAAAATATGTCAAGACTTTCCCAACAACCTAATACTTTTCTTGGTATGCTCTCTCACATTCCCAAAGTCCTTAATCCATAGAAATATCTACCCTAAGTGTCAGCAGGTGACATAGTGATTAAGGCGCTGGGCTCCCACGTGTTCAACCACAGTTTGAATTCCAGACCCAGGGTCTTGAAACTCACCCCAGGTGTGTGTGTGCATGAGTGCCCAAAGTCCCAAGAGGAGAATGGAAGAAAAAGTATTGCAGTGCTGCCTTCCCCCCTGGGAAGTGATTTCTTGCTTTCTGTCTCTGTGTTTCTGTCTCTTTTTTCTCTCTCCAGTGAGTACATATGCCTTATAACAAAAACATGTAAAAAAAAAAAAAAAAAAAAAAAAAAAAAAGCAGCAGCAGCTTCCTTTCTTGACGGGTCCTTGTCCTTGTATGCGCTGATCCTGGGCAACTCCGGAATTTCTCTCTGACTGTAGGCGGCCTGCTCCTCACCCATCCCACTCTGGGGGAGGATGGAAGGGAGACCGTCCCTCAGGTCTCACCTGAAACCCTGCGCCTCCAGCGTTGGGACTTCAGGCAGGTTGCCGGGACTCTGAACTTCAGTCTTCCCATTTGAATACAGACTGTTCTTTGCAGCATCTACTTCCCAGGATTTACTGAGACCACGATACTAGCTTTGACCTGGAAACTCCCGGTGCACCTGGCAGGAGCTTCGCTCAGTCTGTATAGTGTCTCATTTACTGCTCACTGCGGTGTTTGGGCTAGTGACTCTCACGTCCTTTTCACATACTGGTTGACTATCTTTTATCTGAAATACTTTGGACCACAAGTGTTTTGGATTTTAATTTTTGTCTTCAGATTTTTGGAGTATTTGCAAGTGCAAAATGAGAAATTTGGGAGAAAGGACCCAAGTCTAAACATGAATTTATGCTCCATATGGACCTGACACATAAAGCCTGAATATTTATAATATTTTTGTGTTGCAGTGTTTTGACTGTGACCTGTCAAATGAGATCAGGTGGGGAATTTTCCACTTGTGGCATCATGTTGGTGCTCTGAAAGTTTCCAATTTTGGAGCACTAAAATCTCGGATTTTTAAATTAAAGATGCCCAACCTGTATATGGAGGGGAAAGACTTAAGAAATCGCCCACGTATAGCCATAGTGAGTGACCCTGCCCTGCCCCTGGAGCGTCTAAACTGCGTGCTTGCTCCTGCCCTGCCCCTGGAGCGTCTAAACTGCGTGCTTGCTCCTCGAACTGGTGCTTTAAAGCTGCAGCCTTGAACAAGCACATTTGAACTACCCCTTCCTGAGCGTGCTCTCTCCCAGGGCCTGTCCTGGGGGCTGGAAGGGGACAACCCCACTCCCACAGGTGCAGCCAGCCCAGAGGTAAGCTACGCTCTCCGGGAAGGTGCACTCCTGCTCAGTGGTGGAGCGATGCCCAGGGGGAAATAGGGCTCGGTAGTAAAGTCCCCTTCCCTGCCCAGTTCTGCTCCAGATCAGCCAGATTTACAGTCCCCACCCTACCAGGAGGGCCTAAATGCCCCTGCACCCCGCCCCCTCCCCGTTCTCCCATTCCTCTCTCTGTCCAAGCCCTGCTCTCATCTGTCCTTCCTGCCATTGAACGCCCCGCAGAGAAACTTCCCATTGAGCGTGTGAGGAAGGCAGAGCCTGCTCCCTTCTGGCGGGCACCCCCACTTCATGGACCCCGGCAGCTCCTGCTCTCAACACGGGCCTCCATGAAGGATCTGGCGTCCCAGCCTGGGTGCGCGAGTGAGTATGCGGCATCCTTTCCCACCCGCCTGGACGAGTGAGGCCCTAGCTGGGCCCCACAGGAAACGGGGGCGTGGAGCCAGCAGCCCTGGACCACCCCCGAGCCGCTGCATAAAGGAGGGGCTGAGCCGAGTCAGGCGCCGCTGGCACCATGGCGCCCTGGCAGTTCCCGCTGCTGCTGCTGCTCCTGGCCGGGCCGCCCGGGCTCGCCCGGCTCCCCCGACCTGCTACTCCAGGATGCTGGCCCTGAGCCGGGAAATCTCCGCGGACTTCCAGAGCCTGCGGGCCATGGAGCTCTTGGTGAGTCCTTCCACCTAACCACCCACAGGAGGTCCATTCCCCAAAGTTTGCCTTTGGACCCCCCCCCCCAATAGCTATTTTTCCTTTCTGGTAAATGTTCTCAAGGATATTTGCATCTTACTCATCCTATTAAATGTGATACCAATGGCCTGACTTTTGTAATACAAGAAGGTGCTAAAGATAACAATTTTTGTTTTTAGCCTGCTAACAAATATCAGAGATCTACTGTAAAATGTAAAAAGAAAAGAAAAAGAAAAAAGAGAAGAAAAATAGCTCCCCATAAAGTCTAGAACTTCAGTCTTAAGAACAGAGTAAGTGTGTTTATCCCCTTCGTTAGTCTGATGATCAGGGGTGTGTGCCAACGGAGGGGCTGACAGGGTGGCCTCCACCCCTTACCCAGGAGGGGCAGTTAATTATGCAGCCTCTGTACCTCAGCTTCCTTATCTGAGAAATGGAATGGCAGAGTACTCCTCCCCCTGGTGGCTGTGAGGATTGCAGGCGGGATGCAGGTAGCTTGGAGAGTCGAATAAGCATTCAACAGATGCTAGCTGTTGTTCACACTGTTTTAAGACAGAAGACCCCGGGCTCAGAGAGGGGAGGTCCTGAAGGGGCCTCAGGGGTCTAGAATCCAGACCTCTGACTGCTTATCTGGTGTGGAAACAAAATGCATATTAAACTTCACTTAAAAGCTTTGGTAAAATTTTAAAACATCTTTTTATTACTTGTAAATACTTCAAACAAAACGTAATATTTCTCAGATGTTGGAGTTTGCAATACTCTAACACACGGTCTCTTTGTATTTTCTTCTTAAAAGTTAAATAACATGCACTTTTGTCTAATTATAAAAGTAATATATTTTGGGAACCAGCAGTTAGCGTAATGGCTATGTCGCTGGACTCCCATGTAGTCGACTGTGGTTCGCGTCCCGGACCCGGTGGCTTAAAACTCACGCCGGGCACGTGTGCGTGCGTGCCCAAGATCCCAAAAGGAGAATGGAGGAGAAGGGATTGCGGCGTGACCATCCCCCCTGGGGGGTGATTTCTCACTTTCTGTCTCTCTGTCTCTCTCTGTCTGGTGAGCGCACGTGCCCTATAGCAAAAACCTCTCCAAAAAAAAAAAGTGATTTATTTTGTAGAATGATTGGAAAATGCACAAAGGACAATGAAGAAAATAAATAACTCTAGGTGGTAACTCTACCACCTAGAGGTAACTGCTACTATAACACTCTGAAGGCTCTTATTTCAGTTTTCCGCCCATGCTTAGGCACTTGAGGATATCCAGGGTGTGTGTGTGTGTGTGTGTGTAAAATCTGGATAAAACATCCCAAGCAGTTTTGCAACTTAGTTTCTACTGGTACCACCGAAAAGTTAATATTCTTCTGTAACATTTTGTGGTATAGTTGCACTACATTTTATCACGGTGGTGGAATATGCAGAGTGATCATCTTTTAAAAGATTTAAAAAAAAAAATTAGTCTCGGACCTGTGGAAGTGGGAGGAAGTAGAAAGATAGATATTCGACCTCTTCGGCTTCACCGCTGGGGAACTGAGTCGGAGAGGAAGAGGGTCCTTGCACACGCTCACACAGGAAATGGAGTGTACAGCAGGCATCTTTTTTCGGCACCAAAGCCAAAGTGCACTGCAGTGATACGGAGGGAACGTACACGCGCACTTTACTGCATTACGTATCGCTGTACCTATATTACAGTGAGGACTGTCAGATACCTAATAGGTACTATGTATTTATTATCTGTTGCTTATTTATATTTAGATACATTACATATATAACTGTATAGTGGTAGAGCTGTTACATTACAGTTACAGAACTGTTTTATATGCACACGTGTGTACGTATGCACACTTTTATCTATTCTATATTACTATTTCTATATTGCAATTAGAACTTTAAAATGACATCACATGTATGTGTATATATAAAACAGTTCTCTACTTCACAGTGAATAATGTAAAAGCTGCACTCTAAAAGAGGAATTCGGGAAGAACAGTTGCCCGTTTTCACAGGAATGTGACATTCGGTAGGAGACTATAGTGGGTGTGTCCATGCATCAAGGCCCAGGGGCTGAGGCTGGTCTGGCTGTTGGGAGGCTGGCAGGAGCCTTCTGGACCATGCCAAGAATGTATCCCTGTGGGCATTCCAGAACCCGTGTCCCTTTCTACAGGAGCCGTGTGTGATGTACCTGCCCAGGCTGTACCTGGATATACACGTGAGAGGGGCTGCCCGCTGGGGAGGGGCTGGTACTGAGGGGTTGGGGTCTGAACCTCCGCCCCTGACTGCATGGAGGGCAGTGGGGAGCGGTTCTATGCAGCGACGGCCCCCTGGCTACTGACTTCCACACGTGCCCTCCTCATTGCCCACCCCCAGAATTACTGTGTGCTGGTCAAGCTGCGGGACTTCGTGTCTTCGCCCCAGTGTTGGAACGTAGCCCAGGTGGACGCCTTGAAGGAGAAGGTGAAGAAGCTGTACTCCATCATGAACTCCTTCTGCAGGAGAGTAAGTACGCGCCGGTACAAACCTCTCCTACTTGCTCCCAGCCAAAATGTTCCGGGCTTTTCTTGAAAGAGAAGGGGAAGGAACAGGAATGGTTAGGAGGTGCTTCCAGTTCACAAAGCCCCTCTCAACTGCGGTGGCCCTCGATAAAGGGCAGGGCTTCCAGACAGCACCTGCCTTACCCAGGTACGGTTCTGCCAGACCCAATAGGGCAGGTCGAGGAGACTTCCTGGAGAGGGGCTTCAGGTGTGTTCTATGCTAGGAGGGCTCTGATGGGAAACGGAAACGGACCGGAAACTTGCACTAGCTAGTGTGCAGAGTAGAGTCCTGTGACACCAGGGCACAGGCTTCAGCATCGGATGTCCCTGAGCACTCTACTTCCAGATGGGGGCGCCCTCCACTCCTGTGGGACGGTTTCCACCCTGGTGGACTGGTGGCAGTCCACACCTGTTACTCTTTTTTGAAAGAATAATTTATTTAATTTTATATATCATTATTATTATTATTATATATTATTGAATTTGACCAGCTAGAAGGAAAATGAGAAAGCAAGCCACCAGGTCTTGGGCTTGAACTGCAGTTGACCATGTGAGTCCAGCACCTTAACAACCTTGACCATCTCTTGAGATTTCCAGAAAGAATAATAATTATACCCTTACTATGCCTGGCACTATAGGGGCTCGCTTGCTCCTGAGAAGCCTGGCTGGGTGACTAAATGTAGGGTCCTATCGCCATACCTGACTCAGAGTAAGCCCCTCTGGATACTTTGCCAATCAGCTTCAAAGCGTTGTTGCATTTCCTCACGCCTGGTCTCCACCTTATCTCCTGCTCCTCTTGGTCTGGGGAGAGAAGACAGATGGGTGACATAACAGCCTGGTAAGTCATGTGATCACTTCTAAGCTGTCCAAGGTGAAAACCAGTGCTGTTTTCGTGGCATCCCCAATACCTGACCCAGAACTGTCGCTCAGTAATCCAGGCTCATGCATTCACTCCCTCACCCCTTCATCCATCTGGCCAGCCACTGTATGGGTGAGTTCAATGAAGTATAATAATTTGAAAATATAAGATCTTATTGGAATGTGAAAAAAGAAATGACTAGCTCTCCCCGGCAGAGTTTTCACACGAAGGGGAGCAGATGAACAGCCTTCGAGGATAACCAAGAGTCCAGTGGTTGCATGTATGGCCCGTGGCCACCTGTGGTCACACCACTGTCCGCTGTACATCTTTGTCAGGATCTGGTGTTCCTGTCAGATGACTGCAGTGCTTTGGAATACCCAGCGGCGACCATGGTCCTGCCAGATCGTCAGACGTAAGGCAGCCCAGACCGAAAAAGAAGCCAAGAGGACTGACGTTGTCGGTTGCCTGGATGGGCGGGCTAAGCCGTGGCCCCTCAGAGACCCTGAAGCCAGCCTGTGTCTCGCCACCTTCTGGAAAGCCAGGCGGGTGTGCCTACCCAGAAGTCTCCTCTGAGAATAGAATTAGAAGTCTTGCTTCTGATCCACTGGGTGACATCTTGCCAGGATGATTATATATAAAAGCATGTGTATTTTTGCTACTAAAAAGAAAAAGCTAACCAGCTTCTCTTATGAACAGCTAGCTTGAGAATAAGCAAAATAGCATGTTATTATTGTTTCATAGAGTAATGGTACCATTTTTCTTTCCTGATAGAAACCGGCTAACACTTAACCAACCTCCTATTTTATTATAGCTTCTCTTACCACAAACTTTCCTTATTTTATTTCACTTTGTGATTTTACTGCTTTTAAGATGTATTTGCAAGGTTCTTACATAGTGCTAATGGAACCACGCTTTGACTGAAAGGTGATGAAATGCAAATAAACAACATTTTCAGAGTGAGAAACACGTGTTCTACTTGTGTGTCCAAAGTGGGTATCAAGTGGTTTATCTCACATTTTCCCCAAAAGCTTCTGCTCCTGTCCTGATGCGTCTTTCTGCGTCTTTCTGTCAAGCGTAGGTGTCTCTGGGTCCGCTTCACTCCATGTGCGTGAGCCTGACCTTAGAGCACTGGCAGATGCTCCGATTCGTGAGCAGATTGCTCGTGTGGGGTATATAGGTTGGGGGAAGATTGCATTGTGCAAGGCAGTGCCCTGTACTCACTACAAATTTCAGGTCATCGACTCCCCACGACAAACGAGATGGGCATGGTGGGAGGCGGAGGCTTACGTAGGTTGAGTAACTTCCCTAAGGTGACTGACTGTGAGTGGGGGAGCCCGGGCTGAGCCCAAGTCTGTGGACCTCCAATGCGCATACTCTTCCCAGTGCCCCCATGCTGCTGCCCTCTAGGTGAAGTATGTTTGATTAATTTATGAACCAAACAGCAAAATCTCAATTAAGTAACTGAATTGTAAAACAAATTTCAAATGTTGATTTTTAATTTTTTCAATCTTATTTTTATAGCCCAGAGTTGTTTTTTTGTTTGTTTGTTTGTTTGTTTGTTTGTTTTTGAGAGGTTTTTGCTATAGGGCGCGTGCGCTCGCCAGACAGACAGAGAGAGACAGAGAGACAGAAAGCAAGAAATCACCCCCCAGGGGGGATGGCCATGCCACAATCCCTTCTCCTCCAGTCTCCTTTTGCAGGATCTTGGGCACGCACACACACGCGCCCGACGTGAGTTTTAAGCCACCGGGTCTGGGACGCGAACCACGGTCGACTACATGGGAGTCCAGCGACATGGTCATTACGCTAACTGCTGGTCCCTCCCAGAGTTTATTTTTAACACCCATCATGCCATGAATTCATAGGGAACAGGTTCCAGAAGCTCAGGTTTCTTTCTATTGGTTCTCACAAAGTGTGCTTCTCTGAGTGGAGCAGGCTGGCACTTCCGTTCTCTTTGGTTTCCTTCTTTTTCTGATCATTTTCCTTTGCATGTGTTAGGAAATGAAAAGTAAAGAATTCCTCCCCTTAGTTTATGAAAGAAGACATTTGCAAAATCTAGGAAACAGCAGAGAAAGGAACAAGTAATTCTGAGGTAGGGCAGAAAGACTCCTTACAGGATTTAGAATTTGAACAAAGACTTGCAATATGATTGGGAACTTGATAAGCTAAAATGGAGTGAAGGCAAAAGATATAGTATAGCCCAAGGCAAGGAGACTTCCAGTGGAGGCCATAGTCCCAACACAGGTCTGGAGTTGGGGAAGTCAGGAAGTGAAGCTGATGATGAAGTGGGAGAGGGAACTGTGGCATGGCCATCCCCCCCTGTTTTTAGAAACTGCTGGCTCAGTTAACTTCGACACTTTGTGCACACACACACACGAAAGCACACACACAGACTCTCAACTTCTGGGCATTCTTTGTCCCAGTGCGCTGAGCCGTTCCATAAAACATGGCTGTCTGGACCTTAGCCAGCAGCAGGGACCTGAACGAAGCCCTTATCTTCCCTTCCTGAGTGCATCTAAGAGCTTACTCATCAGTTCTGGCTGTCTTGGAATAGAGCGGCTGCTGGAATCAGCACTGCACCTTGACACCCAGGGGCGGGTTAAACCAACTGAGAATTGTTAGGCAAGATCCCACAGTTCAAGCCTAGTTGATTTGCAAAAGTGCTAATAATGTGAAATTGCTTCCCGCATTTGCAAGATGTTCAGGCTTCTCGACTGTCAGATCAAGAATTCACAGGATAGAGCAAAGGACTGTCCTGACACTAAGTACTTGAGAAGAAGAAAGAACAGAAAAATGGAATACCATTATGTGGGAAATAGTCGAGTCAGCAGTCATAACCCATGGCATCGGAGGAATTACTTGGACACTGGGTACACATTTCTAAAACATTTGCAGTCAAGTTCCTGAAATGTAGCGCTACTTATTTTTCAAAAGTTTTCTGGCTTCCACGCAAAAACAAGACTTGCTCCAGAGTCCTTGCCTTTTCATCCATTTGGTCTTGATGCCAGTTTTGCGGCATTGACCCAACTCGAGATGTCCCTAAGTCAAAAGATGGGTTTACACTGCGGCCACCGTCTCAGCAAAGAGCACCCTTCCCTGGCCCAGGCAGTGCGTAGATACTCTGAGTTTGGAAATCACCTAACTCTGGAGGGAAGGGATCCAAAGTCGTGCTCCAACATTGTCTGTTGATGTTTCAGGGGCCTCTTTATGTACCGATAATGACGACATCTCAAGTATGCGGAGAGTTGTCCAATTTACATGGTATTCAGAGTATCTCCCCTTTTGTTAACTTCAGTTTTTATGCTAATATTTGAGAATGAGTAGATTAGGATAGTTTGTCACTATTTTTAGACTTGAAAAAAAAAGTTTCGAGGTCAGGTGGTAACGCAACTGGTTCCCAATGGGGAGATCCAGGGTTCATGTCCCAGAACCTCTCTGTGCATGCTAGGCACATGTATGCATGCTCATGGGTGGGGCTGGCTGAGATTCAGGGTGAATCCTATTTTTTAAATGAATTATTTATTTTATTTTATTTATCACGATCATTATTATTTTTTAATTTGTTATAGGGCACATGTGCTCACCAGAGGGGGGAGGGGGATGCAAAAGCAAGCCACCAGGTCTAGGACTCAAATCATGGTCAGCCATGTGGGTGTTCAGTGCCTCAACCACCACGCCACCTGCTGGGACCATGAAGATCCTATTGGGAGGTGATTATCTCCCATAAAGAAATTAATGATCTTTAAAAAAGCAAAGCTCAGTTAAATAATCATTTTATGCATACAAATATGCTTAGAAGGTTAAAATCTGACAGCATCAAATGTTAGTGAAGAGACACAAGCAACCAGGACACCAGCATATGCCAGTTGGAAAAATAATTTAGTGTTACCTAGTAAATTCGCAGTTACGCAAATCTATGCTCTGGCAAATAGTCGCCCTAAATATCTTCCAGAAAAATTCTTTTACATGTGCACCAGCAAATATATCTAAGGGTGTTCATGACAAAATTTTTTTTTTTGAGAGATTTTTCACTGTAGGGCGCGTGCGCTCGCCAGACAGACAGAGAAGACAAAGAGACAGAAAGAAAAATATCAGCCCCCAGGGAGGATGACCATGCTGCAATCCCTTCTCCTCCATTCTCCTCTCGGGATCTTGGGCACGCACGCACACGCACCCGGCGTGAGTTTTAAGCCACCGGGTCCGGGACACGAACCGCGGTCGACTATGTGGGAGTCCAGCGACATAGCCATTACGCTAACTGCTGGTTCCCATAACAAAATATTTTTAATAGGAAACGACTGGACACAACCCAAGTGCTCATCAATGACAGAATAGATGACTAAACTGTAGAGTCATACGATGACAATGATAATTAGTATGTCATGGTGCTGTGTAATGGTATGGCGGAATCTCAGGTACATAATGTTGAGAAAGAAGTAAAAATAGAAGAAGATATACAGAATGATTCCATTAATGCAGAGAACAAAAACAAGTAAAACATAAAGCATATGTTTTGGGGAGAGAAACAAAGGACAAAATTTAAGGAAGTTCATGATAGTGCTTAAAACAAAACTCCAAATAGACTCTGTCCACCTGAGGGGCAGGGAAGAGAATGGTGGGCCATACAGAGGACCTTTAAAACAACAGCAATGCGTTATGAAACTGTGTAATGGGTCTTTATTTTGTTATTCAAACATATATAATACTATTTAGCCAATATTTAATAACAAAATTAAAATGAATAGCATGCATATAAAACATCAAAAATTAAATTGGAAAATTCAATTTAAAAACAAATCCCAGGACCAGCAGATAGCATAATGGTTACGTTATTGGATGCTCCTGTAGTTGACCGAGGTTCAAGTCTAGACTTGGTGACTTTAAAAAAATTCACTCCAGGGACCAGCAGTTGGCATAATGGCTATGTCCCTGTACTCCCATGTAGTCGACCGCGGTTTGAGTCCCGGACCCAGTGGCTTAAACTCACGCTGGGCACGTGTGCGTGTGTGCCCAAGACCCCAGAGGAGAATGGAGGAGAAGGGATTGCAGCATGGTCATCCGCCCTGTGGGGTGATATTTTGCTTTCTGTCTCTTTGTCTCCCTCTGTCTTTCCAGCGAGTGCACGTGCCCTATAGCATGTGCCCTATAGCACGCGCCCTATAGTGGAAAAAAAAAACTCTCGGAAAAAAAAAAAAGCCCAACTCCCTCCGGGGGCAGGTACATGCATGCCCAA